CAATTCAGCTCACTTTCCAGTTCATCTATGTTGTCCTGGATTGTTCACTTCTCCTGACTTCTCCAAACTCTTCACCCTTAGGTGAATAACCCTGTTTGTGTTCTTGCCACAGATCTGTGATCTCGCTATTGCCCCAGTAATAGGCAATAAATGCTCAGATTAGTGGATTGGCTAGTTGGGTAAAGTCTGATTAACAAAAGGATATGGGCAACCAGATCCCTCTATATGGGCAAACATAATTTTTAGCTATGATAGCAGCCTACTACTAAAATAGCTGTTTTACCAGGAATTGCCACATACAGTATGTGCTGTTGGTATTGTCCTGGGGGTCCTAGCAGGGGACTTGAGACACATATGTTTCACAAGAAACCAACAATATGGAGTTAATTAGGTGCATTGTACTGCATACTGGGCAGCAACAGCATTGCAAACTAGTTTATTCTACCAGTTTTACAAATAAGAAGCTAAGTCAAGTTATTCCTTTATTATATACAAATTAATTTGTAAAATACTGCCAGTTTTTCTGCCTGACCTCTGTCGTTATATTATCCTTCCACTATCCCCTGAATCACACAAATCATACAGGAATGCAGTATACACAGTTCATTTCATCTGTATGTGTTCCTGTTTGGCCAGAATACAGTTTTGAATAGTTACATGTTTACATTTCTTTTTATATGTACCAGTGACGTAAATAATATGGGAGGGCCTAGTTATAATCACTGTACAGCTGCATTAAAAAGAAACTCTGAGCAAAAATGCAATTAACCCTTGCAGTATGGCTACCCCTGCACTGCAAGGGTTTAGATTATAAGCCCTCACGGGCAGGGCCCTCCTTACCGTCTTATCTTGAACTGTATTGTAATTGTAATGTCTTCCTTAGGGTTTATTACTATTATTATTTGTTTTTATTTATTGTAAAGCGTTGCACAAACTGTTGGTGCGATTTTAATCCTGTATAATAATAACAATAATAATAAGTGCTCGTTTTGGTCTAGGGAGGAAAATATCAAACTTATACTCATCCGATCCTTGGTGCTGGTCAGCTGTGACAGCGCTCCCTTCAGTCTTTCTTCTCCTGCACTGCAGTGATGGTATGTCCCTTGGCGCCCTCACATCCTATACACAATAAGGGGAATTTATCAAAACTGGAGCAGACAAAATCTGGAGCAGCTGTGCATGGCAACCAATCAGCTTCTCTCTTTCATTTTCAAATCTTAACTGAACAAACTGAAGAGAGAAGCTAATTGCTCCAGATTTTGTCTGCTCCAGTTTGGATAAATTTCCCCCAGTGTATAGAACATGATGACCCAGGAACCTTAGACTGCTGCAGTGGAGGGAGAGTGAGGTGGAAGGGACCAGTCTAAGAGCAAGCCGGCTCTGAGGGTGAGTATAACCTTTTTATTTTAGCTCCTAGACCAAAACGAGCACTTAACTTTTGCAGTGTGAGGGTAACCCCACTGCAAGGGTTAATAAAAGTTTTGCCAGAGTTCTTTTTTAATATTGAAACAGCAGGTTTGACTTGATCCTGAAATATCTTATACCTGTCATTTAACATGCTGTTAATTATAGGCTAACATAACCTTCACATCACATAACATAACACAGGTAACATGTCAATAACACTAGGGGGTCTATTGATAGTTATTTACACACAACATTCAATTTGTTCAATTGAATCCAAAATTCAAAATGTAAATCCTTATAAATTATAAAGTCTAAATAGTCTTTTTTATGTTCCTAAAATATTGTCACTAACTAAATAGTGAGCCCTATTTCTTTATATTTGCCTTGCACTGTTTATTTAAAGTAGGACTAGACAAATCCCAGGATCCAGGTATCCAATGTTCCTTAGAATCAGGGCCGGCCTTAGGCGTTTACGCGCCCTGTGTGCGAGAAAGCTTTACAGCGCCACTCAGTCACCACACCTCTCAGTGGCCACACCCCCAGTAACCATACCCATTTTCCCCAATAGCCGCATAATTTAAAGACTCCAATTTTGTTAAGCCGCAAACAAAAATATATTAAAAAGTATGATAAAAATAAAACTTTTATTCAAAGGTATTAAACTTGTAGGCACAATATAAGTATTTTTATCAAATCAAACAACAGAAGGCAAACAATAAATATGAAACTAAAATAGAGTCTATAACAATAAAGTGTCAGGATGTCCTGTCGACACCCTTTTTTCAAGTAAGTATATCTAGAAAAGTAAAAATAAAAAACAGAACACAAAATCTAGACTACGTGAAGTTTTTTTTTGACAGATGAATAGTTCCACGTCAGTAAGGCAGGGAGCTGGGCAGAGCTTGTGTACACAGAACTAAAGGATGTACGTCCCTTTAACTGCTGAAATACCTGATAATAGTTTTATGTCTTAGATAGTAAATGCTAAACACATGCACACACACACACTCACTAAGTACAGTGTATTTATAACTCTGAAAATGTCAGCTAGTCTAGCACAGATAGTGTCTTGTAACTTTGATCTCATCCAATGCACCTCTTGTATCTATTCAAATACATCTTCTCTGTGACATTTCTACTGGTTTTACATAAATACATGAAGAGTATTGTGGCTATTTCTTCTGCTCCTGCACAAAAACCTCTTTAACTGAGGACACATTTATCCATTTATTGTTTGATTATACCAATGGTCAGAATTGCTATAACTGAGCCAAGCAAATGTGAGCAGTGTTCATGCTCCCCAGCAGAATCATGCTCACCGCTTTGTGTATACTAAGAGCACAATTAATAATTAAACTTATATTAAAGTCAAACTTTGTTTAAAAGAGAACTATGGGGTAAGTGTTTTCCCCCATAGTTCTCTTAAGGGTCACGGGAGGACATATACCAGCGTCCTCCTGTGACCCAAAGCTCAGTATATCGCGAGCTACAGCTCACGGTATACTGAGACCGCCGCAGCCGGGTCGGATCCCAACATTACTGTCGAGATCCACCCAGCTGTGTGAGTGACAGCTGGCTCTGCCTATCTAGAGACAGATCCAGCTGTGCCCACCCCCTCCCTCGTCCGTTCCACCACTCAGTGCTGGAGGATTGGAGAGGGGAGGGGGAATCCCTGCGGGGAGCCGTGACTGACAGTCACTGCTCTCTGAAGGGAGATGATCGAGAAGTGAGCGAGTGACGGTATGTGTTCGGTTACTTCCTAATCTACTGAGCCGACGTGTGACAGTTGTCATTGTCATGCGTCGGCTCAAACTATGAGGATGAGTGATTTTCACTCACCTCATGGTTCTCCTTTAAGCTATTTTTAAATGCTGATTAAATCTCTTACAATGGCTGCTGCTCCTTGATGTTTAAACATTTACGTTTCCTCCAGAATCAGCTGGTCCCCTGAGCTCTGGCCCTGATATCCTGTTATGGTGGTTTCTTTCCCTTGCAGAGTCCTATATGGCCACCTTTTTGTATGCTAGTAAGTTGTGTGGGTCTCCACAAATACACAGGCACATCAAGGCAAGCCATTCCCCTCCTCCCTCTTCCTTTCCCTCTTTTTCAAGCTAGTAGATGTGCAGCTGCTGGAGGCTGCTCAGCCTCTTGTGATCTTGTATTGGACAGGAAGTGAAGCTGAGAGAGTTGGAGCTGTTCAGAAACATAATGACTGTAAGTTCTTGGGCAAAAATGTAAAGAAATAGCTCGCTGGGCAACCAATATTTCTTTATTCTGGATTTATTATTGAAAAAAAAGTTTGAGAGTTTAATGCTACTTTAAAGTTGTACTTCTGGCAGGCATCTAAATACACAGCTCTGGCAGGCATCTAAATACACAACTGACATACAAACACGTTAAATTTCTTTCCTGCCAAAGCATGAGTGCTACTGTTCAGCCAGTCATATGGTCCAGCCACCTTTCTAAACCTTGCAGACCACACTTTTTTTAACGAAAAGTAAACCTTGAAATCTTGAAAAAAATGCAGTACGCTTCCATTGCTGACCACCCTCTAAAATTCTAATTGCCTGTTTACCATGTTGACACTCTGACTTCAGTATTTTTTTTGTTTGGCAGTCATTTTTTATTTGAGTTTTGAAATTGCAAACAACAAAGAAACCTCAGCAACTAATCGGAGAATTAGTAAACACATAACGACAATGCCACCACCCCAGTCACCTCCTTGATGGCAAATGCGTGGCAACCTAGGGGAAAAAGAAAAACCCCCCAAACGACACGAATATAAAACATAACCAATACCCATATGCTTGAAAAAGACATCGCCCCTGGAACAGCCCCATCAAAGGTAAAGGTAGACTAGATCGAGCAAGGTTGGGGTGTATCTCTATGTATAAGACCTGGTTTACACCTAGGCGACAGCGTTTTTGGGTGTTTTTGATGCACGTTTTTGCGCGTTTTATGCGCATACGGCAAAGGCGTGTTTTTTGATGAGAAAAAAACATAAAATGTGTAAAAACAAACAAACGGGTGTTTTCAAGTGTTTCCTATTCAGTCTATAGGGTAAAAACGCTCTGTTATATGCCCAAATTTCCCCCCCGCTGGATGGGCATTTATGCTCGTTTCAGCACGGTTCCATTTGAAGTCTATATGGAAACGCGCTGATCAACTCTAAAATAGTAGCTCAGGGAGCAGTTCAGGCAACAAGCATATTGAAACATGCCTTTGCGTGCATTTGCGTGAACGGGCCCCATAGAAATTAATACGTTTTTAAATGTTGGCGTGTTCAGCGTGGAAAAACGCCCCGGTGTGAACGGGGCCTAAAAGCGGTTTCCCCAATCCGCTCAAAACTGTAACCTCCATTCCCCCCTCCTAGCCCCCAGGCCCATCACTTGTAATCACCATGTGAGTAGGGACTGACACTCAGGTGAAGTGATCGCCCATGCACAGTCTATCAGATACAAAGGTACTAGCAGCCCGTAGGTGATTCAATCTACTTGTTTCTACCCAAAATGTAAGTCTATCAGAGATCATGTTTTCATTTCAGTGAAGATCATTTCCCAAGCTAATGCTTTTGTTTTCTTTTGTCATTTCAGGGAAGGCAATTCGCCTGCAGAATCTTCTGTAATTTCCTATGGCGATTTACTGACAAAAGTCTGCAAGCTGTCAAATGTCTTAAGGAGATTAGGCAAGTATTATTTGGGATACGCTGAGAATGTGAACCATAACAATAAAATGTGCAGCAATAAATAATTCATACTAACAACAACATACAATTACTTTTATACTATATGTTCACTGATGGTGACAAATTGATACAAGGTATAAAATGCACTGATAGTGGATTGTTTACTTTATATTTAACATGTATTTTGGTTAGTTCACACCAGAAACTGCATCACAACTGCGTGCGTCTGCGCAGTTGCACAGCGATGCGTTTGCAACGCGTTTTTTAACTGCACTAAAAAATGCTAGTTAGGCATGTAGGTCACTTCCTTTTCCTGTCAGAGCATTTCCTATGTTGGTTTTGTTCGTTTGGGAGCTCAGTCATTCTTTCTTTGTTGGCTGGCATGGTGCTAGTTTTGACTTTAGCATTTAGCGTTTGCACCGCGTTTGATGCGTTTTGATGCAGTTTAAGTAGTACTAGTAGTAGTACTAGTAGTAGTTGGACAAGCAGTACTTTTTCTGACTGCATTGAATCGTCTGCAATGGTGTGAATTAGGCACAGGAAAGTCCATAGGAAAGCATTGGGATGTATTTTAACTGCGCAGTTGAAATAAACGAACTGCATCACAACTGCATCACAACTGCATATGGTGTGAACAGGCCCTTTAAGACATCTGCAGAATTTGGAAACAGAACAGAGCGCACTGGATAGTGCAGGTAAAACACTTTATTGTAAGGGCATTTTTAATCATTTTATATTTGTTAAAGTTACTTGGTCAGGGCATATCACAGGTAAACTCTTCCCAAGAAACACAAGAGCATGACAGCAGATGTAAACACACTTTTTCTGAATAGCTGGCAGTGAGAGAGGGCACATGCCAGATGGATGTTTAACATCAAATGCTGGAAGAACTTGATGGTGTAGAAACTTGCACACCCTTACAATTTGGTAATAAAAAGAAGAAAGGGGAATGGAGAAGTAGCCTGGTTAAAGTAGTAACTCCACAGTACTGACATGTTTCAGGGCCTTGCCCCTTCGTTAGAGGAATCCATTTGGCATACATCCTCTCTAACTGCCAGCTATTCAGAAAAAGTGCGTTTACATCTGTTGTTGTGCGCCGGTGCTTCTTCGGAAGAGTTTAACTGGTGATATACCCGATCAAGTCACTTTATTGCAAGAACATTTTTTTTTTTAAATCAAAGTTTTTATTAAATTTTGACAATTACATTAGAGCATATAGTATAACTTGTAAACAATATAAAAGTTGTATAGTTGAAATTTTTCAATTAAGAAGTGCAAGTGGCTTAAACAATCGAAATGTCAGGGCAGCAGCCACTTGCGCAGTAGGGTGCATATCAGAGCGGCAAGGAAGTATGAAGAAAGGTGAGGAAACAGGGAAAGAGTGCAGAGGAGCAAGGTAAAGGAGGAAAACAAAAGTCTGGTGGCTGAGAGAACCCCCCAGGTGAGCTGATGCAATCATAGGGCCGTGATGCTAGTAGAAGGAATGTCTGGATAAGCATATGCTATCCATGGGTTCCAGACCTTCAGAAAATTATTTTGGGTGTCAAAGAGAACAGTGGATCATTTTTCATTAAAGGAGAACTATGGGGTAAGTGTTTTTCCCCATAGTTCTCCTAAGGGTCACGGGAGGACATATATTAGTGTCCTCCCGTGACCCACAGCTCAGTATATCGCGAGCTACAGCTTGGGGGATACTGAGACCATTACTGTCGAGATCCATCCAGCTGCGTGAGTGACAGCTGGCTATGCCTACCGTCCGTTCTGCCAGTCAGCGCTGGAGGATCAGAGCGGGGAGGGGGGAATCCCTGCAGTCACAACTCTCTGCAGGGAGATGATTGAGAAGTGAGCGAGCGACGGTATGTGTTTGCTCACTTCGCGATCTATTGAGCCGACGTGTGACAGTTTCATTGTCACACGTCGGCTCGAACTATGAGGTTGAGTGAAAATCACTCCCCTCATAGTTCTCCTTTAATGAAGAACGAGTCTAGTCTGCGTCTAACCCCCACAAAAGAGTTCAGTTGCTTCTTCCAGGCTTTTGCAAGAACATTTTTTATAATTTTGCACTTTTCAAAGTGTGTTTCCTGTACTATCCAAGGCACTCTGTTCTGTGTCTATATTGACATGTACGGTATATGTGGTCTTAGATATACACAGAGCTAGGAAGAATTTGAAGCACAGTGCTTAAAGATTTGATGAACGTCAGAATTTACTTTTAGCATATATCGTTATTAGACTCCTTTCTAAGTATACGTTAAATATTATTACAAATACTGTACTTTATGTATTAGAGCCTGCTGACATGTTGTGATTGATTTGCTAAAGGCTCTTCACTTTGCAAGGCAATTTTCCCTTAGCTTATTGAATGTGGTGAAATGTCACTTTGCTAAGAATACCCAATCATGTGCAATCATGGATGATGGAAGTCAGCAGAGCTTCACTTTATTCGCTAAGCTAAGAAAAAAATTCCCTTGCAAAGTAAACAGCCTGTTTGTCTTTAGTAAATCAACCCCAATGTCTCAGCCAGTGCCAGAATGAACATTAAACCTAACAATGGATCCTGTAGTTGGCACCGACCTCAGCTTGACTCCTCCAATAGTTTTAAAATATTGAATTATAATATTTCATAATTATTTATTAAACTTATGCGCATGATAATTTGTTAGCTTGCCATTGGTGCAGAATCTTCCAAAGGTGGAGTATTGTGACTAATCTAAGACAGAGGTCTTCACCAGTGTCAGGTATATTATAAGAGGTTTGCTGCCCAAAGGGAAAACACAGAATAGAGTCCCTGTGTATAGACGCAGAGCCATGGACTCTTGTGTGTCTAGGTTACATGTGTTGTATTGATACTACATTCCTGAAATAGACATACCTGCACACACAACAGGTCCTGCTATACTGCTTCTTACTGAGCTGAGTCTTTGTGAACTGGGGAGAATGCAATTCGTGTTTTTTATGGTGATCTAACTACAAACAAAGTGCCTTCAGGACGATCAAGTTTAGTTTTTAATGGTCAGAGCTAGGGATGCACTGATACCGATACTGGTATCGGTGCTGATTCTGAGCATTTGGGCGAGTACTCATAGTCGCCCAAATGCTCCAATACTTACCCCGATACCGGAACTTCCGGTCAGTGTCACGAGGGAACATGGAGCCGGTCATGACCTGCCGCCCGGCTTCCTGATTGGCTAGGAAGCTGGCCTCAATCTAGGCCAAAATAGCAGATTTGGAAAAGCTCACTTTCCAGTTCAGCTATGTTGTCCTAGATTGTTCACTTCTTCTGCCTTCCATATACTCCTCACCCTTTTGTGAATAACCCTGTGAGTTTTTGATGGCCTGACAAATACTGGTAAAATGAAAGTGATATTTATTTGCAATTAGAGAGCATAAAAGAGTAGATTTACCCCCTTTATGAGTGGTGTTGCCAGATGATGGTCTAATGTCCTTTATGGACATATAGAGGTGATTTACTAAAGGACGTTTAGGGGGTTATTTACTAAAGGCAAATAGACTGTTCACTTGGCAAGGACATTTTTCCTTAGCTTGGTGAATAAGGTGAAGCTCTGTTGATTTCCATCATCTAATCATGGGCAAGCAAAACCTGTTTTGTTTATTTTCCTTGCACTTGATTGGGTATTATCTGCAAAGTGAATTTTCACCACATTCATTAAACTAAGGGGACATTTCCCTGCAAAATGAACTGCCTATTTGCATTCAGTAAATCAATCTGCATAGTCTCAGTTTTCATGGCCAGGGCACAGAGTCATCTTCGGTGGCTAAAAACAATTAAGTTCCTTTGCTTTTTCAACATTCTGTGTTGTAAATGCAATAACAATTTTTTCCCAAGTATCCACAAGGTTTATATTTGGTTAATTATATAGCCTGTCTTTACTAACCTTATTGATCATCTTCTGTACTTTTAAAGGAGTGAAGAAAGGCAACAGAGTGGCTATCTATTTGCCAATGATCCCAGAGCTAGTGTATTCAATGTTGGCATGTGCTCGAATTGGCGCAGTTCATTCTATTGTGGTATGTATGTCTCATAGTGTGGGCATTGTGGGCATCAATTACAATGTCCTTTTTGTTAGACTAGAGGATAATAGTAAGGAACGTTGTTGAAATTGATCCCAGGGGCATAGAGCCCAAAGAGCCATAAAGAGTTTATAATCCACAGACAAACTCTGTGTGCATAAAACTTACATCTGTGTCAGCTGATATCTGTTCTGTCAGTTTAATCACAATGCAGCAAATCCCTGGTGTAATGTACAGAAGTTGCTGGTAGGTAAAGGACAGGCAGGTTACAAGCTAAATCCTGTTTACATTCAACTTATTTGGTGCATATAAGAAACAATTATTTATAAGATAGGTCTTTTCAGCTCTCTAGAGTTAACGACATATGGAATGTACACGAGTTGAGACCCATATGCTTCAAATAACGGGCACTGAATCCAGCCATTTTTGGACAGAATGGGTGATGATCTCATGTCTGTGCGAAGTTTACAACCACCCAGGCCCTCCACAGTTTTTGGGGAACATTTGATTGGGTTGGTTAAAAATCCTTTGATCACTTTTGACAAGTGTTTTGATCTGCTTCAATTGAGTTAAATGGAAAACACATAAGGAGAAAAATTGCATAGGTATAATTCCAATCATTCTGTATCTATTCAGGCACGTCATTGCACTACATTCTTGTTAGTAGATCTAAAGAAGATTGTACAAACTGTAAGGTGTGCGGTGAGCTTTAGTTTCTTACAGTTAAGATCAGGAGTCTCATACTCAATGTACTCAGGGGCCACTGGACACATTTTTTAGTCCCGTGGGGGCCGCTTGCTAAATTTCATGCTTCAAAATAAAATGTAACTATATACAGTACCAGTGTTAATGCCTGTGCATATTACACCGGGCGTTTACTAGAGGCAACTGTCACCCATTCTAGTTAATGATCAGGTGACAATCGCTGCATGCAAACGCCTGCACACTGCATGGAATGGTATGTAATACGATTACATGCAGTTAGGAATCAATTACTATTCCTAAACGCAATGATCGTGCATCCAACTGCATGTAATCATATCACATACCATTACATGCAGTGTGCAGGCGTTTACATGCAGCGGCTGTCACCTGATCATTAACTTGGATTGGTGACACTTGCCACTTGTAAATGCCAGATTAGGGATTACTGCTGCAGGAAAACACAGATTCCTGACACAGGAATCCCTAATCGCACCTCAATTTACAGGTGTGATTGGGATCTAATCTACACACACACGGTAAAATGCAACCCACACCACACACACACTAATACACTCCCCAACGTTCCAATTCAACACCCCCCATCCAACCCCCCCCTCGCACACATAAAATAATACACTTCCCCCCACGAACCTCCTCACCTGCTTACATCTTTTCATGCGAGGAGGCGAGGGGCAGAATCCCTGGTGATCCAGTGGTTGATTAGTGAGGTCTGGTGCAGACTTTACTAATCCATCCTTTCAGCCGGAGCTCAGAACTGCCAGAACGCCGGCTGAAAGGATCTGAGTGCTGCCTCTGACAGGGGCAGCTTTGCAATCTGCATCCGACAAAGATGCAGACAGTGTAGCTGCTCCCGCAAGTCAGGTACACGGTCCATGACCGCATGTCTAACCTGTCAGATGGCTGCAGGCCACATAGTACTGGTTCGCGGGCTGGAGTTGGCAAGCAGGGCTAAATGTAGATCGGTGAAGCTGCTGCTTGTTTAGTACAAGTGATCTCGGCGATGCCACCAAGATCACTTGTAATAAGCCTGCTGGTCCATCTCCCCCTGTCGCCCCCCCCATGGTCCTCCCCCATGGCCGGCTGCCTCTCTCCCTGCTGGCTGCCTCGCCTCCCTGCCTTGTTTTTTAGGGTCCTCTTTCTTCTGGGGACCCGGGACCATGGCAAAGTAGTTAAGGATGGAGAGCGGGGAGCAGAGAACGTCTGTTCTCCTATCTGCTCTGTGTGTACAGGGAGACAGGAGAGCTGCACTCGCAGCCTTCCTGTCTCACCTGTCACAGGACAGCCAGCACAGTGCTATGCTAAAACTCCTGTATTGGAGGTGACAGGTTCAATAAAGAGATGCTATCCGAATGCTATCACAGGGGGCATTTTAGCGCCTGTGTGATAGCAATAAAGTTAAGCGGAAAAATAAACTAATAAAAACTAATAAAATTAAAAAAATAAACAAAAAAAAATGTATAAAAAGTTAAAAATAATAAAATAAAGAAAAATGATAAAAAATAAAGAAAAGATAATAAGATAAATACAAAAAGGTTAAACAAATAAATGTAGAATTAACAAAATAAAGTAATAAAAAAGGAAAAAATTATAAATAAAGTAAAAATAAAATGTTTGTATGTTTGAATATATGTGTTTCCCTATTTTGACTAAGGCAGTGATGTTGAACGTTTTTTTAAACCCCAGTGTCCAAACTAAAACTCAATACCAAACTTATTTTCAGTGTTGGTACTTTGAGATAAATACATTGATTTGGGGTTTCAGTTTGGGCACTCGGGCTTAAAAACGTTAGCCAACAGTGGTCTAGACACTGCCAAATGTTACACATCTTGTCCCCCTTCCCTTTTCCACTGCATCCCAACCCCAGTGTCAAGAGCAATCAAAGTACGCATGCATGTCCAACCACCCTCGTATGTCTATGGTCAGCCATTAGTATTAAAAGTAGTTCAAACATGTTTGTTGTTTTTCTCTAAAAACACTACTCCCCAGGTGTATTACATGTTCTCGCTCTTTTAGTTTGCAGGCTTTTCCTCAGAATCACTCTGTGAAAGAATCCTGGACTCCCAGTGTGCCGTCCTCATTACTGCAGGTATGAAAATAACTTTGTGTGCTTTGAGATAATGTATAATAGACCACTCTGCTTCATCTCAGTGAGATCTGAACGCTGTGTTTTTCAGATGGTGTTTTCAGAGGGGAAAAATTGATCAACTTGAAACATATCGCAGATGAGGCAGTTCATAAATGCAAAGAAAAGTAGGAATCTTTTCTTTTATTCTGTTTCCTTTTTATTGCTGTATGTGTTCATCTTTCATAGCAGTAGTTAGTTTTAGAGACATAGCAGTGGTTATATAAAGATAATGTTAAGATATTTTATTTATAGCTCCAGATCTGCATATTAATTCACCGCTAATTATTTGTTAAGGGCTATGTTTAGTGTAATCTTTTTTCTACACATCAAAATTATTGGGATCCATATAAAACCTACAATTCTCCTAGGAAAATATACAGTATGTGCACTATATTTGTAGCATATTGTATTGTTCTTGTATGTATTCGAAGATAGGGGTGGACTGTTTACCATACTTACATGTAGGCTGTCTGGCTGCTAAGTTTGACAGCATGTGGCAATGGAAGTGTCTATACATTATATATGCGTTTTGAAAGGATTAGTATTTTCTTTGCAGTGTGAAAACACAAGTGTCATGACATATTGTATAAGACTTTTCAGCCACTCTAGCGAACGCCACAAATGCCAGATTAACATTCCAAAGTAGAAATATAAAATGTGTAGCATTTTGCCATCTTAGTTAACTCAGCTAGGTATATAAAGACAATTCTTAAATATGTATACAGTGGGCAAATTTTAAATCATAATTGCTTAGAGCCATGTGATTGTTAGTGGAAGTTGGGGACTGTTGGCTTTGAAATGCTTATATGGTTGGTGGAAATCCAAAGCACCCTTGCTTGGTAGAACAAGCAGCATATACTTTGGTTATGTTCCCGTATCTAACACCTAGTTTCAGATAAAAGGCATTTATGTTATTTTTCATGGTGCGATAATAATGTATAGTATTGTGGCTTACATAACTACCTATATAAATATTAATATACTGTGCAATGAAAGTCCAATGTTAATTCTTTCCACTAGAGCTCACATTGTAAGGAACTGTATTGTGGTTAAACACCTCAGTGGAAGGCTCAACAACCAGAACAAATCAAAACTTCAGGTAATCATCTTATATTTTTGCATAACAATTTTGCTTTTGTGAAGGTAATAATATAGAATAATATATTGTCTGCTCAGATTTTTAATATATATTATTACAGTTTTCATCACCATTTTCAAAGTGCATTATTTGTGATAACAAGGAACAGGATGGCTTATATAACTTTTCAACACAATTACATCTTTATCAGTATAGTTTTTGTTTTAAGAAAAGGCAGAGGGGGAGTAAATTGGTGGAAATACAATTTGGAGCAAAGAAAACTGAAGCAATAGTAAATTAGCAGTTGTCATGGCTGGATAAATACTTCCTGCCTCTCTAGGCCAATTGCCACCTTTATCCCACATTGGTCTACTGCCTGGTATTACACCAACAAGGTTGGATATCATGGCTACGCAAAGCAGAGTTTAATTACTCTGCATCAGTACACCTAGAACTGGCAACTAGAAGAGAAGAGGAAACTCTTGCCACTCTTTGCTAGCTGTTTGGTTCTAGGTGTTCCTACCCAGAGTGAGATGACTGTAAATACACAATGCACTATTCCACCAGCAAAAATGACCAAGCTGTGAAAGGGCAGGGAATGCTATTGATCTAATTATTTTCAATAAGATGTTATGCTCCGTTTTACAGGTTGCCTGGAATCCAGACAGTGACTTGTGGTTAGATGAGCTGATGGTAAATGCAGATGAAGAATGTGAACCTGAGTGGCTGGATTCAGAGGATCCACTTTTCATTCTCTATACTAGTGGCTCTACTGGGAAACCAAAGGTAAAGATACAGTAATTCAGTATTAGCAATCACAACATAAATATCGATCCAACAGTATCAGACAAGACAAGCTGTAGTGCCAGTGAATGGTAAAAAAGTACCTATTGTTCAAGTGAGTCTGACTAAATATGTGAAAAGGAATATACCATTCACATCTAAAATCTACATTTAAATTTTATGTGACACACACTTTCGGTGACATACCCATAATATTATTATGGATGCCCTGGCCCAAGTATATACATACTGGAGATCTCCATTTTATGAAATATGTAACAGGAGATTGTCCTAGAAAATGTAGGTAGAACCCATCTTTGAAAATAAAGGTAGTCTTTTATATTCAATTATTCTTATTGGATACCTATCCAATGACAACCTCTATATTTTTGAGGCTGCTTTTTATTTTCATGTGTTTGCTATACAATTGTGAGACATCCGGCTGCTATTTCAAGATTAAGGGTTCCCTAATGTATCATTTAAGGTGAATTTTCCTTTTTCCTAATACTCTTTATTGACTCATTTTACATTGCTGGTCAATGTAAAAGCCACCTTTACATTAATGGTCTCTTTAAATGCTCACTGCAAATACTGCTATCACCTTGGTGGTCGATATAAGTGCCCCTATTACATTAGTGGTCAGTGTAAATGTCCCCGTTACATTGGTTGTCAGTGTAAATGTCTCTGTTACATTTATGGTCGGTGTAAATGCCCCCTTTCCATTATTGAACAGGGTGTAACTACTTGTTATACTGCTGGCCAGTATAATTGCCTCCTTACATTGATGGTCATTGGTAACCTGTCCCCTTACATTAATGATTAGTGAAAGCAGGGTTCCCTTATTTTGGTGGTCATCGGTAAAGTGCTGTATTACAGTGATAATAAGTGGAAAAATACTCCCCTCACCTTGGTGGTCAATGGAAGTAGGACCCCCCTTACAATGGTGGTCAACAGGAGAAGTGCTCCCTTACTTTGGTGCTCATTGGTAAAGTGCTCCCTTACATTGAAGGTCAGTGGGAGAAGGCTCTTTTTACATTGGTGGCCAGTGGGAGAAAGCCCCCCTACATTTCTGGTCAGTGATTAATTGTCCCCTTACATTGGTTGTCATTGATTAAGTGCTGCCTTACATTGGCGGTTAATGGGCAAAGGATTCCCTTGCATTGGTGGTCATTGGGAGAATGGTGCCCTTATATTGGTGGTCAGTGATGAAGTGCTCCTCCTACATTAGTGCTCACAAGTGAGGTTCCTATTTGCATTAGCGGTAATTGGTTATTTACCTAATCTACGTAATCTAGGCGATGGTATGTGAATATGTGAATTAATGAGAAAGTTACTGTGAGATAAAAAAAAACAACACAGTTAAAAGAATAATACATCTTAATGAATTGATTTCTGTCACTTCTACCTGTATAACCTTCAGAGTATTAAAGGTATCTTTAAGTTTAGTATCCGTTTCAGATACGTCAGCCAAGAAGCTGTGCAGGAAAATGTCACGTCAGTTATGTCCACGTAGCATGTGTGGACATTTATAAACACATTCTTTGTTTTCTGACGCATAGAAGACAGACACTCCCTATTTAAACATTCCAGATAGCACAGCGGGACAGTTTCATTTTTACACACACCATCTAAGCAAGCTAGACTCATTTTATTATTGCTTGCCAGTCAGAGCAATAAACGGAAGGATTTTCTGTTCCTTCCTTATAGACTTCTATCAGCTATGCTGTTTACAGGGAGGAGCACTTTATTACAGAAATGCCTGTTCAATTTTCACATAGGAGTCTATTCACTAAGCTGCCGTAGGCAGCCGAGTGAATGACCGACATGAAGTGAAGTGAGCCGAACACTGTTCAGCTATTCACTTCAGGCTTGTACGGCTGATTTCAGCCGTACATCGGCTGAAATCAGCCGTACATCGGCTTGCTTCGCGTGGCTTCGGGTCGTCCCAACATGCTCAGCATGTTGGGCCGACCCGAAGTGCAGAAGGAGTTCGACTCAGCCGATCCAACATCTGGGCCGAACCTCCGGCAGGCTACTCACTGCTGTTCGGGCTATTCTTAAAGATGCCTTGTCCCTGGTTAGCAAGTAACCAGGGACGCTGATCTCTCTGAAAGTGGCCGGAGCCAGCCGCCCAGCTGTCAGAAGCAGGCTGTCGGCCGGCCAATGGCCGGCCGCTCGGCCAGCTTCGGCTTTCAGCCGAGCTGATGCATATGCGCGCCGAAGGATCGGCCGAAGCTACGGCCAGATCCTTCGGCAGCTTCGTGAATAGACCCCATAGTTTCTAATAGTTATTGGGGTCAATTCAATGATTAAAATGTTTTTTCCTCAAACAAAAATCAAATGAGTTTTGAACAACATTTTTCAAGTGTCTGATGGCATTATAGAATATTCTGATGAGTTTTTTTGTATGAAGGTTCGTACAAAAATTTACCAGTATATGACCAGCTTAGCTGTAAGAATTGATGGGACGTAAGAGATATTAATAATGTCTCTCTTATCTTATTATGATTATGAAGAATCTAAGAGGGTTATTCACAAAGCTGCCAAAGGCAGCCGAGTGAATAACCCACCAAAAGTGAAGTGAGCCGAACAACGTTTTTGGCTATTCACTTCAGGCTTGTACGGCTGATTTCAGCCGTACATCGGCTGAAATCAGTCGTATATCGGCTGCCTTTGACTGCACTTTTGTCAGCCGAACATAGGGACCGAACAGCATGTAAGTGAATTTGGCTCGGCTATTCTGCTCGGTACCTCCATGATGCCAAGCAGAATAGGAAATCAATGAAAAAAGTAAAGAAAACAAGTTGAAAAGAAGATTTTAAAAATGTAAATGCATATTACATTTAACACAAAAAAAAATACAAAAAAAACAATGGGCGGAGCTAGCTGTGACAGCTAGCTTCGCCCAACTGTTTCCTATTGGCCGGTACCAGCTAGAGTCTTCTAGCAGGTCCCGGCCAATGAATAACAACTGGGCGGAGCCGGCTGTGATGTCACAGCCGCTTCCGCCCAGTTGTCGTTGTTTAATGACAGTTCAGCTTCCCCAGGTAATTTGGGGACGATGATCTCTCATTACAACTGGGCGGAGCCAGCCGTGAGATCACAGCTGGCTCCACCCAGCTGTCATTTGTCAGGCGTTCGGGAGCTGTACAGGCTAAAGTGAATAGCCCGCACAGCAGCCCTTCGGTTCGACTGAACCGAAGGGCTCCTGCAACCGAAGCTAGCCGAAGGATCAGCCGAAGCTACGGCTGTTCCTTTGGCTAGCTTTGTGAATAACCCTCTAAATCTTCTGTACACAGTTTGCTTGTTGATGTGTATTTGTTCCACTAATGCACATAAAATACTTACAGTTACTTTCTTAATATGGGTTTAATAGTTTAACATTGCATAGTGTATTATCCACTTGGGCAAAATTCCAAAGGTGCCTATACCACCCAAGGCTCATCAGGGAAGACTGAAAACCTTGCATGTTATTAGCGCAAGGCTGCCCATATTCTGTTTTTTTTGTTGGTGACACCACACTCTTTAAAGATGAATATTTTTGTCCTTTACCACCACAGAACCAGCTTATGCTGAAGTCAGACTCATTTGCATACAAAACATGACCATCGCTACCAGTGTAAAGCTGGGTGTACCTGGGTGTAGGCTGAACAAATAAAATATTACAGATTCCTTCATCAATTCTTATGAGCGTGGATGGAGGAATCCCATGCTGGTTTGCATTGTATTCTAACAGCTGCCGCTGGTTGGATGCAAGCTCCGTTTGGCTGAGAATTTCCCAACCTTCTTCTTCAATCGGCTGATCAAGGAATGCCTGGTGGAAGGGAACCAAAAGCGGCACCCACTGCGCAAATTTCAGCCAGTTCATCAAGAGATGGCTAAAATTTGCACCGTGTACAGCCTACTTTAGTTGTTTCAGAATGCTTATTCTTGCTTGTTTCTTTACATGTACAGTACTCCACATAACTACTGCAATAGATGAAGAAGCTTATCAAAAACATATTACCATCAAAAAATACCATGAAAAGTTTTATCTGCTACCTTTCTGCCCAGAATACCTATAAAATAGTATGGATGTTCAGATACCAGTGCCGATACTTGGCATTTTCATGAGAACTACCAGGGTCACAGCGGTTGTAGCTGGGACCTTGCTCTGGCACTCCACCACTGCCCTAAAATCATTAGTCTGTATTGTTTTACCAAAAACCGTCACATGACAATAAACAAAAATGTATCAGTACTTGTATCTGTGAATACTTGGACAAGTATCAGTGCTTGTACTTGAAAAAATGGTATCGGTGCATCCCTATAAAATAGTCAATATATCATGTGTACTAGACGGATTTCCTGAAATATTTATATACTGTTTGCAGCTTTTAAAACGGGACGGTGATGCCATTGATTCACCTGTTTTACAATTGGCGGCATTTGCATGTTCACCTCAGGTTACGTGGACCAATTAATTTTTTTAAATCATTTTTCTTTTAACTGACTTATATTCCAAAAATCTAATTTCTAACTTTTTTTTTTTTATTATAAAAATATATTTCTATCTTTTTTGTATTTTTTTGCAGGGTGTGTTGCACACGGTTGCAGGATATCTTCTTTACACAGCGCTAACCTTCAAGTATGTGTTTGACTACCATGAAGATGATATTTATTGGTGCACAGCTGACATTGGATGGATCACAGGCCATTCTTACATCACTTATGGCCCACTAGCTAATGGTGCAACTAGCGTCATGGTAAGCTGCCCAAATGATATCATTCTAATAAGATGGAGAAGGTTTTCCCATATATCACTTTTCTTTTTCCACTTAATACAATCATAGTTCATCCCTGAATCCATTAGCCATCCCTAAATAACACATTATGTGAACATGAAATCTACTGTCTTTAATATAATTCTAAACCCTATAGTTTTTTTCCTGATGTGGCTTTCTTAGCAGTTAAAATCAGTGTATTAGGCAAAAAAATGAGGGAAAGGAAACATTTATGTCTCACTTACAGCAGTCAGTCTAATGTCAGCCATCATATGTAAGGCTGCAGTAGAGAAATTGCCAATGAGATCTGACTGGTTGCTTTGTACAGCTTAGATACTTTCCCTTCTTCCAGCTTTGTAGAAAGGAAACCCAGTACTTCAAACTTCTGCAAGAGAAAGACTGTTATGATTATAAGGATAGAGCAAACACAGATACATTGCTCTGTGTATTGGGGTTAAGGTGTTATGATGGCTTTATGGCCCTTTCTACCTCTGAGTAAACACACAGCTGTAAATTATTAAAAGCTATTTTTCCTCAGAAAGACCTGTTAGGCAGACTTAATATAATCTGGTATATTGTGGTTTATCTCCCATGTACTGTGCCTCTCTTTTGTGTTTTATTTACTGACATAGGGCAGAGGGTCTGCCTTGTAACACATAAGGAATATTTTATCTTAAAGGATAGCTCTGTGCTTTGTAAAAATCTATAAGCAAGGATCAGGCAGACAGCATTAAAGGAGAACTATGAGGTGAGTGCTTTTCACTCACCTCATAGTTCTAGCCGACCTGTGACAATGAAACTGTCACAGGTCGGCTCAGTAGATTGGGAGGTGAGCGAACACATACCGGCGTTCGCTCACCTCTCGTTCCTGTCACGGCTCTCTGCCGTGACAGGGGAGGGGCTGGATTCCCCCCTCCCCGCTCCGATCCGCCAGCGCTGACTACAGCTACAGCTCGCTGTATACTGAGCCTAGGGTGACGGGAGGACGCTAGTTTGTGTCCTCCCGTTACCCTAAGGAGAACTATGGGGAAAAGCCTTAACCCCATAGTTCTCCTTTAAACTGCAGACAGATATAAAATGCACCAATTAATGTAGTTCTGTATTTATTAATTTATCATCAAAAGCATTTTTTTTAAATGCAAGCAATGTAAGTAGCAGAATTTTATTTGATATCAGTCTTTTGCAGTACCTGTACAGCATAACTCAGACTGGAAGAGCTGGAAGCAGCTGTGCTGCAGTGCTCATGCGCTAAGAAGGAACATGCAGATAGGTGGAGAGAGCAGAGTGAGAGTGATGAGCTAATCAACGTGCTGCTTCTTCTTTCGCTGTCCAGTTAAAAGCTAAGGGTTATTTAACTGCAGCAGAGAGAAATTAGTAGGGATGCACCGAAATTTTGGTCACCGAAACATATCGGCTGAAATTGGCACTTTTGGCAAAATGCCGAAAGTTTCATCTTTCGGCCTTAAAATTCCCCTCTGACACAGCGCAGCATCCAGCGTGGAGGAGAGGAACTGTCAGGAGCCGAGCGGGGTGGGGAGGAGAGCGCTGTGAGCGTATCCTCCCCCGCACCGCTTCCTAGTTTCCTAGTTAAACTAATTAGGCTTTACTTCACTGCCCTAGAACTAGTATATGGCCAAGGAGGCAGGAATTGGCAGGCAGCTATCATCTACGGTTTCTCACTCAGGTGTGTACAGTAGATTACTTTTAAAATCAATACGTTAGCACCCAGTTTGCCAGTTGACACATTACATACTTTTTCCAGCATAATTGATGTGTTTCCCTTCTTTTTAGTTTGAAGGAATCCCTACATATCCACATGTAGGGAGATTCTGGGAAATTATTGAAAAGTATAAAGTGACTCAGTTTTATACGGCACCGACTGCTATCCGCCTGCTCATGAAGTATGGAAATGAAGTAATTCAGAAGTAAGTGTTTTTGGGGAGTATGACAGAACATGGGCATAGCCACAAATAACTTATTGCAAAATTGAAGGGGGCATCTGTGATATCCTCTACGCCAGTAATAGGCAAACTCTGGCCTTCCAGCTTTGGTAAAACTACAAATCCGAACACGCATCCACCTCTGGAAGTCACGCCTGTTGCTGTCTTGCAATGCCTAAGGGGATGTGTAGTTGCGCTGCAGCTGGAGCGCGCGATTTTATATACCCCTGTTGTACGCTCTACGCCAATATACAGTATATGTCAACAATCTGCATAAAATGGACAAAAATGCATATTTTGAATATTGTTACATGCCTACAGACAATGTGGTCACAGCAGTCAGATAATACACAGGAATGCCTTTGTGTGCACACAGGTATTTGTGTTTGCAGTCAAGTCTGCTGTGTCTAAATTACATTAAAATGCATCCATAAAGAACGTGGTCTGCAACGTGCAGTTTACTGCGTATCTGAATTAGTCCAGATGCTGTCTGTACACAGTTTTGTAGCTTTTAACCCCAGCAATCTGCCGCCTATAGTTTTATTTATTTCCCATTTTCAAGCAATCATATTATTGAATTTGTTTTAAAATGGAACGAAACCACTGATATGCTAGTCTAGATGGATATTCAATCATATTTCCATCCCACATTTGAACATTATGCAACTTGAAACTAGAAAAAAATCAAACTTTAGTGGCAGAAATAAATGAATACAACTGACCCAAAACTATTATAAAGTCCTTTTAAGGAGCCTAGTTCCAAGCTGAATGGCCAGACAGAAAGGTAAACGTAGACGTTCTGTGCTAATAATCAGCTATCTATACAGATGTTGAAGGGGCAGAAAGGAATAGTCACACAAAGGCCACTCTGTAGTGTGTACACATTTCACATATGACTACTTCTGTTGTTCCCTGCACAGAATGAATGTTGTACATGTTTTGAAGATGAACAGATTTGCCTGCCACCATTTAAGATGGAGAACTGACTGGTGTTTGGAAAGCTTTCATTTTAAACCTTTGGAATGCTCATTATGGCCCATATGTTTTTATTCTAGGTACAATTTAAATTCTCTGAAGATTCTAGGAACCGTAGGAGAACCCATAAACTCAGAAGCCTGGCTGTGGTACTATAACATCATTGGCAATCAGAGGTGTCCCATCGTTGACACATTTTGGCAGACAGAAACAGTGAGTGTTGCATCCTGATAATTAGGTGTTTATGGTGGGATAAGAATATCATTCTTATAAGACAGACAGAGTTTGATAAAAATAGACATGTTTCATTTCTCCAGTTTGCCCAAATTTCTGAAATTACTCGAGAGATTTCTCGGGGCAAAGTATGACCTATTAAGTACATCAGTGGTAAGCAGAGGGCTCTTTTAAGACCTTCTCTCAATTTCAGTAATTAAAATATTATATTACCAATACCTCCAGTTGAGCCATGTAGAGTTTGGTTTGGTCAATGCTAAATTTGAAAATATGAAGAAGAAGAAAATATGAAGGTTACGGTTCACAAATAAATGAATTGGCCTACCTTTGATTATTACCTCCTGGATGTTGAATATGACAAATTGGCTAAAGCTTGAGTTACATTGAAATTGGTTATACCTTTAACCAGCAATAATGGAAGACAAAATAGGGATAAAATAATCGAATTGCTTTACTTCTGTCAAACAAAGAGTGGGAAGGTTTTCGTAGATAAATGATTTAAGTGTAATACACAGAGAACTGAACGAGAGAAATCAGTTGACTTCCCCATCCATGCTATACAATGTGGATGGAGGAATCTTCACCAGCCAGATATTTGTATGCAGACAGCCAGCACCTGTGGTTGCCTGACTACCCAAACAGTGACTACAACTGACTGGATGTAGTCATGTTCGTTCAACAATTTGCCACTGAGCGCCTTTGATTTTGAAAAAAGTTTTTTCAAGATAGGTGATGCTGACAGGAGAGCAAAGGAGTGACCTTGTTGGTGCTGTCACTGTTCCTTGTCCAGTCAGCAGGCTGGGGATGGGTTGGGGATCAGGAAGGTAAAGCCATTCTCCTGACTATGCTGCCTGGCAGGGTTGTCTAATTTATAGCAGTGGTCAAACAGAATCAGAACAAACAGTTCATGTACAATATTCAGCTGTTTTGGCTCTTCGATCTGAACTAACAAACATATTGAAATAAATCCCAGTGAATCTAGTCCTTATGAAATTTGAAGCATTCTGAGGACTTTACATAGTGGAAAAGAGCAAACTCTTTCAAAGAAGAACACATCCCATAGGTATTTTTGTGACATTACTCACTCTTAATGACATGGGAACAAAATGTTTTATTACAGGGAATGATTCATTTCTTATTTCTTTCTCATTTTCAAAAACTAAAGCAAAGGAAATACAGAGTGTTGTCTACGATTGCTAGTCAGGCATTAGTGTTCATTGCAGAAACTAACTACAAAATAATACAGAATCTACAGGAACAATTTGACTTTTATAAACTTCATTTAGTGTGCCCCATTGATCTTCTTGGCTCATGGGACACAGCGTCCTCGTGTAATGCTTTGAAAAACTGTTGTTCCTTTAGAGCAGTGCTTCTTAAAGTGTGGGTCGCGACCCCATATGGGGTCCCGCAAGTGAACAGGAGGGGTCACGATCTGAATCCCCGACCGCCATCATGGGGGTACGGCCGGGGAGGCCTGGGCTCGAAACAAGATTTTTTTGTTTTGGTTTAATGATGTGCAGTGTAGTGTAGTTTTTAAGGTCGCCCCCCCCCCCGGTGCACTTGGTACCTTCCTGAGCACGTGCGCACAGGAAGGTTTTTTTTTTGTTTTTTTTTTACATTGACGGAGCTTTCTTCAACACAGCAGCAGTGGAGCACAGCTGCTGGTACACCGACTGACGCTAGGGGAGGGGGTAGACACTGACCGACGTTGGGGGAAAAAGGGGAGAGACACCGTCCGACGCTGGGGTCCCTTAAAAATTTCCTCGCCCAAAAAGGGGTCACGAGTGGAGAAAGTTTAAGAAGGCCTGCTTTAGAAAACACATGAGTGTATCTGCAGGTTATGGAGTTATGGAGTTAGGTTATTGTGGCATATTAGAGCCATGCTCGTGAGCAGTTATTGCAGGAAGGTAATTGTTTTAGCTAGGCATAAAGATGTAATGCCTGTACATAATTGCCAGTCATTGCAGATGATTACACACATGATGCAGTGGCTAACTGATATATTGCAGTTGTTAGAACTGCCGTCTGTGAACTTTGCATATGCAATAAATCTTTATAATGAGTTTAGCAAGTGGTTCTATGTGTGACATTAAATTGGCATGCAATTGCCATGGCATTGCCATACGTTCACATTGACTTGTATGTAGGAATATGGGCACAAATATGATCTCAGGCTGAAATGATCTCAAAAGCCAGTCTACACCAGACCTGATACTGGTTATGTTGAAATGTTTCTACGGAGTGACCAATATATAGTTTTGTATGTTTTAAAATTGCTAAGTTGCTAAGATATGTTACATATCTGGTGGACATTTTGGTTCAAGGCCTTTCGTTTCTGAAAGTCAGTCTTTTATGAGATATCCCTACAGACACGTGGTAGGCACTTCTACACAGTAGACAATAGACCAAACAGCAACAATCACTAGCGCACCATAATGTGCTTGCTGCCCACTTAACATTCTTCTTATTTTATTCTCCTTGGCCAATTTAGGAGTCTGACATTTTTATCTCTTTAATACTTAGCCCATCAAAATCAGAGACAAACACAATTAATACTACTAATGTTGACTTTTATTGTTATATGCTGTCAAACACTCATTGTACATTCTCTTTCCTGCATGATCTCTCTTTGGCTGTAGAATGATACATGTTCTTCTTTGGTATACGTGGCCATGGACATCGGTTCCTGTTAGTCTCTTTGGCATACTCTTTTTGGCTGTATTCTTCTGTTACAAACAATAATAATACTGAAACAGAAAAACTAAGTTAACATTTTCTGTAAACAAATCTTACTGCTATATTAGTTCACCTACTGTAAGTGTTAGGGAGAAAAACTGAAGTACCCATTGTGAAATATATGTACTGTATGTCCTGGAGTAAAGCACCTTAACTTACCTTTGTGTTAGAAGAAGTTGGATTTTGTTCAATCTGCATAAAACTAGTTTGCTGCTATTACATCACATGATGTATATTTTATTATGCAGTAAAAGGGAATACAGCAGAAGTTTTATTTTTTCCCCTTTAAAATCACAGAGTTTCTGTGGATGTTTTCTGTGTCTGCCATGAGCTAAGTGTGTTACGACATTACAAAAGGCTCATTTTATTTTGACTAGGTGTGCCCAAAGACTTTAAAGTCAAAACAGGAAATGACCTGCACTCCATACAGCATATAGACCTTCACGGAGAATTGGTGCTTGCAGTGACAACATGGATGGCAACAGCCAACGTTTCTGGGCCATGCAGGGTCCCTTCTGCTGGGCGACATAGTGATGTCACTATGTCGCCCAGCAGAAGGGACCCTGCTTGGCTCGAAACATTGGCTGTTTGACGCATGTGACAATTTAATAAAAAGTGCTTATACTTTTTGCACGCATCGAGTGCTGGTGACTTCTATTGTGGACATAGACTTTATAGGACACAAGAACAAATTCTCACTGCCCACAGAGTAAACACTAAGAGACCTTCAGAGTACTATGTAAACATGTATATGTCAATGGACTGATCTCTACTTACACCACTTACCGTGGGGGATGGATCAATTCTTGAGATTTGTAATGGGAGTATAGCCTAGATCAGGGGTCAGCAACCTTAAACACTCAAAGAGCCATTTGGACCCGTTTCCCACAGAAGAGAAAACACTGGGAGCCACAACACCCTTTTAATATCTAAAATTAAGATAACACGGCATATATCGTTTTTTTACCTTTATGCTATGTATAGCATGTATATAGGTATATGTGGGCTTAGTAACGCACTGGACTCTGAACTTGCCTGAGACACCGCAGAGCCCATCTGAGAGTGACCCTGCAGAGCACACCATAGATCCTGCACAAACCATCTGAGACTCTGTATGGTGGGCTCTGCAACGCCTCAGGTGGGCTGGTCACCGGGGTCCCTTTCCCTGTACCTCTTCCCAACTCCTCTTACCTGCTGCTGCTGGGTCCTGGCCTCCTCCACCCCTTCCCCTGTCACCTCTGCCATGCCGCCCCTGGTATAGCTGATACTCATTTAAGAGGCCCCCCAGACCCCTCACATGGGTACCGGCCGTACCCCCCTGATGGCGGTGTTCTATCAAAGTTTGTGACTATGTTAAAATGTTTGACCGGTGACGTGGTCACACATTTCAATGTAATCCCGTCCAGTTTTTTGGCGGTGGAATGTGTGACCGCCAAAAGGTGAAGCATTCCAACGCTTTCTCAGGAACAGGGAGCCGCAGCAGAGGGATGAAAGAGCCACATGCGGCTCCGGAGCCGCTGGTTGCTGACCCCTGGCCTAGATGCTGAGTAGTTTTGTTTTCTTTGTACTGTGCCAGTCCCCTGAATCTCTTTTGTCTGTTCTGGTGACCCTGGTACACAGTTGCTGGTGATGCTGCAACATCCTCCTTACTGCCTTTTGCCTACAGAAGGCCCGATGTAAAAACAAATGCCACCACCAAGAATTTTCTCACTGCCGGAAGTCAGAATAAAATATACATTGGAAGCTCTATGTGATTGGCAATAGAGGAATCAGAGAGAAAGAAGCCGCTGGTTGCTGACCCCTGGCCTAGATGCTGAGTAGTTTTGTTTTCTTTGTACTGTGCCAGTCCCCTGAATCTCTTTTGTCTGTTCTGGTGACCCTGGTACACACTTGCTGGTGATGCTGCAACATCCTCCTCACTGCCTTTTGCCTACAGAAAGCCCAAATGTAAAAACAAATGCCACCACCAAGAATTTTCTCACTGCCGGAAGTCAGATTAAAATATACATTGGAAGCTCAATGTGATAGGCAATGGAGGAATCAGAGAGAAAGAAAGTTAATCAGCAAGGGCTACAGGAATAATAAGGGGCTGTGTGTGGTTATTGTTTAGGGAATAGCAGAGAAGTCAGACTATTATAAATTGAGTGAACCTTCTGACTTTAGCACAGTTGCTGCCTTGACTGGATAGCATGAATGAATGATTTCAATTATTTGTTAGAATTCCTCTTTAACCACAAAAGAAAAACTAAAAATCATTTGTACTGATCTGTTTCCAGGGTGGTCATGTGATAACTCCTCTCCCGGCTGCCACTCCACTGAAGCCTGGATCAGCTGTAAGTAGCAGTATTCCCTGTTGTGACTTTGTAAATGTATTTCTTCCACAATAGGAAGTACCACAACTTCTTTGTCTTCATTGCCTCTCTTGTTGTACAACATTAAATGCACATACATACCTGTTAAAAATATATTTTTCTATGTGTAAAATGAATTTGTTTTTAGCATTTTAATACAACAGTCATACAGCCAACAATAAGCTGACCATACATGTTACAATATACTTTACAACATGTAGTGTGAAGGCCTAGCTGACTGGATACAGATTGAATGGATTGCTAAGGTAGACCCTCACATTATCACAAATAAAGCCAAATTGGAAAGAACCGGCCATTCAAGTCCTGGCAGTTATATCCAAATCAAGCAGGCAGGAACTCAAGCAGTTGTATATTGCATAGCATATGTTGATGTAATCATTTTAAGACAACAATTATCCCATCCATTTTATGTCCATCTTTATCAATTACAAATCTGTCTTCTTTATGAAAACCTGGTGTGACATACTTGATGGGTACTTTGTGTTACTAATGTTCACTGTCTGGAATGGAGTTGTTTTATTTGTGCTACCCTCAAGACATAACATACACACCTTGGCACTCAGCGATTGTTTCCTATCGTCTTCAAATGTACAGGTATCTATATTCTGACAAAAATATGTGTTACAGACTTTTCCATTTTTCGGAGTGGTCCCTGCTATTCTGAATGAGCATGGAGAAGAGCTGGAAGGGGAAGCTGAGGGCTATTTAGTAAGTAATGTCTTAGAAGGTCGTTCTACACTGTACATACTATGGATGTATCTATTGCCAGCACTGATAATACACAGTGAAGTATATATAATGTTCACTCTATTCTGTGCAGTCACCGCCCAAATATATTTCTCAGAGTTTCCCATATTCATTACTGGTCCCCCTTAAAATATCTTGCAGTGTGGCACCATAGATGAATGTCCTGATTAATGTGTAGTACTAGAAGTCGTCTTTCCATGACTGCATATTGCAGATTTCTTGCACATACAAAGTAGATGCTTTAATATGAATAACTAATTTCAACTTTCTAACATTATGTGGAGAGTAATTTGCCAACTGTAAACAATAGTTGAATGTCTCTTGGAGTCCTGAGTATAGATCATTTTTTTTCTACTTGCTTTGCCATAGCGTTGCTGAAGATCAGAAAACACATCTGTGCCTTACCAGTCTTTCCCATTCTAGTGAGTAGCAGTCAGTACATATGAGATACTGGGAAGGTGCCACTCTGATGCTCAAAGGGGGAAAAAAAGCAATAGTTTGTCCACCTATAATTTTACAAAAGCTATGTGTTTAATTTCTACCTGAAAATGAAGCATAGAAACTGTAGTGGTCAGCGCATTTCTATTTTCTTTCTATTTTCTATTTTTGGTTTGAGCCATTATTCCACATTTGAAATTGTAGGTCTTCAAACAGCCATGGCCATCTATAATGAGGACTGTGTATGGCAACCAGGACCGCTTTGAGAATACCTACTTCAGAAAGTTTCCAGGATATTATGTGGCTGGAGATGGTAAGGCGTTAATGCCTGGCAGAACATTTATTATATTTATAAAGAAGTCGGTATGCAATAAAGCAACAAATACCTGTATGTCTGATGCATTTCATTTTTATGTGATAGGATGCAGAAGAGATAAGGATGGGTACATCTGGATTACAGGTCGGATAGATGACATGCTGAATGTGTCAGGTATGCATTATGTATATAGAAAAAACCCTCACAAAAGTCGAACCTGGATGTGCATGAGATACAGGGCACCTGTAGTCTCTTTTCTGCCTATTTTGTAAGTGCAATACAATTTTATGCTTGGTTTTATTTAATTAAGTGGTTTATATACATATATGTGTGTATGCTTTTAATTGTCTTGCATATTCCAGATTGTTGGCACTCAGCCTTCCAAGCAGGAATACTATGGAGTTAAATCACATTATTTCAGATCATACACATAATAGCTGTGGTTTATATCAGTCATACATTCATTGTTTTACTTTTGCACATATAGTTATAGGTATGGTTGTTACATATAGTGGGCACCAGGTTGTTAGTTTTTGCACAATATGTATACATACTGCACCTGCTGTGTATAATAAACACACACACACACAGACACACACTGTACATGGCTCTTAGAACTGAACATTAAATGTCTCTTGCAGGCCACCTGTTAAGCACTGCTGAGGTTGAGTCTGCTCTGGCAGAACATCCAGCAGTTGCCGAGGCAGCGGTAGTTAGCCGCCCACACACGGTGAAAGGAGAATGTCTCTACTGCTTCGTTATTCTGAAAGATGGCAAGAAATTTACAGAAGTTATAGCAGAAGAACTTAGAAAACAAGGTAAGCAAGGCTTGAAGATGGAGCCATTTCCCTATATATCAATATTTATATATTTATACGTCCGTTTGAGGGTATGTTGATACTACATGCTGTTCTTCCTCCTTTCTCATCCACTGGAGGTCCAGGACTACTCACAACTGAAGACCTGCATTTATATATCCATACTTTATTTTTACTAGACATACAAGCTGCACTTGATATATTTGTAATGGATACAAATAATACGACAAATGTAACTGTTGTATGGACTTGGAATAAACTATTAAAATCATATCTTTTACAGTTCGTGAGAAGATTGGACCAATAGCAACACCAGATTTCATACAGAATGCTCCTGGATTACCAAAAACACGATCAGGTCATTACATTAATTAATATTATTTAAATGTCACCAGCAGTATACAGTTCAATGAATCACAATATATAATTTGCTAAAGCTAGGTATAAACAGGCAGATGTCTTCTCAAGAATAACAGGCAGGAAGGTACTGCAAGTCTTTTTAGTTCTGGGACCCGATGGTGTTTTTCCTCAGGCTGGGAAATCTGTGAGGGCATAATGAACACTTCTGATGCCCCTTCCCTGGATCACCCTAAATACCCTAAACCCCTCCACTAGAGTTGCTATAATATGTCCACAAGGATCTGGCCATGTAGGACCATCCGCACTCAAAGAGATTTTCTAGTAGATAAGCTGTAAATACAAAATGCCATATGCTTTATTTCTATTCAGTCTTATCCCAACAGTCTGTTGTGATTATGAGCTAAAACATATTCAAATTAATAAAATGCCACAGCAGATCTGTAAGTGAAATATGACTCTTAAGCTTTTCGGATGCATGCATTACAATTAGTTTGATATTTTCTTAATACTACTGCCAGAGTATTCCCCACCCTTTTCATGCAATATGCACTGTCAGGCCTTTATAATGAATTAATATAGCAAATTTTATTATTCTGGGGTATATATAGATTTGTCAGTCCAGTTTTTTTTCAGAAACAATAACATGACCTTGCCCTGTAGCAGATGACTGGCCATGTGCAGAATTAATAGATTGAACCACATTGAGATTGATGGAAGTTCCATGGAAAGCTGAACTTTATAAGAACGAATATATCTTATATACATGCATGTTAGTCTTCTGTGTGGTGACAATAGTTTTACCAAGAAAAAAAAAATCTGCTTCCAGTCAGATATATATATATATATACACAACAGAAGTACTTCACAAAAGATGTTATAGATTCTTACCTGCTTCTGTTCAGTGAATAAAGACTTAAAGGTTTTTGTATCTATATTTTATATTGTTGTAATCTAATTAATGTCTTTTTAATAAAAATAAAATGTGACCTGTGGCCAGCTCATCTATTGTTAAAACTGGCAACGTCGGTAATGAGACTGCTTCATACTGTATGAGGAGATGGACTTCAGAACTTGTGTTTGTTGATATGGTTTATTTTTGGTTTTATGTATAGGGAGCCTGTTAAGGAAGGAATATGAAAGCTGCAATAGCTAACTAGCTTTTAAAGTGAAAACTCCAGGGCTGCTATCTTTATCTTTCCTTCAATACCAAGGTGAGCCAAAAGCATGTGTATAACAGTCATCCTGAAAGCTGATATTCACATGCTTATTCTGGGTCATTGGCTCCCAAGTTAATTAAGGGTAAATATGAATAACAGCACTGGTGTGTGCATCTTAAAAGATTGGTCATGACCGGCCGGCTTTCAAATCTCCATCCTGACAGGTGAATTTTATGGAAAGCCTATTGGTGCTTTCCATGTGAACAGCCAGATAACAAAATTCTTACAAGACTCCTAAAAGTAAGCAGACACATGGCATGATCACATGACCTTGAATGTTATTTTGATGACAGGCATTAGATCAGCCTTCTCTGCTTGGCACATTCCATGAAAAATGTTTTGAGTAGCTCCTGGTAGCTTGTTCAATTGTCGTGATGGAGACAGAGATTCTCCTGTTAATGACTACAAACCCCTCTAACCTTTAAAAAACATGTATATGTCTATTAATTATCTCTTTTTCGATTTGTCAACATGGTAAAGTGAGAACTAATAGAGACTTGATGGTGGGTGAACTTTGAATACCACATTCTGCTCATCCAAACCCTCATAAAACTACAACTCTCTTTGATTATACTATAAATCACTCTATTGACAATAAATGCTAGGTGGTTATTTGGATAGAAACAGCATTTGTTCATTGAGTAGAAGCATACTAAAGGAAACTAAATGACTAATGTTTTGTATCTGTTTACTCAGGTAAAATAATGCGGAGGGTCCTCAGGCAGATTGCCCGAAATGAGAAGGATTTGGGAGACATATCTACATTGGCAGATCCCAGCATAGTAGAGGTCTTGTTCAGCCAACGATGTGAAGCAGCAGCATGAAGGGCCTTTAAGATTAGTTGCAGATGACAATCCTTTCTACCTTCTGGATTTTACATACCTCTTTATGTATAAATTTTAATATACGTCAATACAATGATCCGTCCATAGCAGGATTGGCTTTCTACATGAAGAAGTATCTAGGTACATCTTCAGCATGTGCTGGCCATGAAAGCTGTCCATGACAAGAATTATTGATCTTATATTGATTTGTGTTGGCTGGATATAACTATGGGAATCATTTGTATAACTTTCTGTTTATATTTATGTTGAGCAAATGTGTTCTGCAGTCATATAGTGATTTTTTTAAATACAATAATATTATTATTTTGTTTCAATCGGCATATTCAGCTTTAAGCCATAATTTGTTTGGTTGATTGTATTTTCATTTCCAAGTAACAAAACTGATACCAAAATAAGCTCTAAATTAAAATGTCTGATACAAAGATTGTTGGAACAAATGTGGATCATCTGCCTAGAGCATCCAATCACATTTTATCTTAATTATCGAATAATGTGTTATTGCTTTACTTCTGCTCCTGTTTCTTTGCACCAGTCTTGTGAATCAGCCTTATAGGAATGTTAAGGTCTTCATTTGCACAATGACCTCTTGGGGCTGACTGGCAAAATCCAGAGCTAATGGTGCAGTTACATACCAAGCAAGTAGGTAACCTGATTGGTTGCTATCAGTACTTTGTAAATTATGTTGATTTTTAGTAATGTATTTCAGACAGCAGTGTAGAGCAGTATATCTTATGTAAGTTTCTCTAGTTCAGCTTAGTAAAACCAATGAAAGATGTCTGATTAGTTGGTTAGTTGCATTACTGTACAGCTAATTTCTCTTTGCTTTGTTAGATAATGGCTACTAAGTTTCTGATCTTACAAACTGTATATTAAATGAATGTAAGGGTAAAGCTAATTGAATGTCTGAAAAAATGTCAGAATGTTTTTATTGTTGCACAGTTGTCGTGCAAGACTGTATGACTCAAACTCAGTCAATTTGTTTTAGCATGGTTTGAAAAAGAAAGTTCAATATCTGATTAGTTGCTGACTTTTCATAGATTTCACTGTTCAGCTTTTAAAGTAAAGGTATCAATAAAGAAGAACTCCAGGAAATGTTAAAATGAACCCTTGCAGTGGGGCTACCACTGCACTGCAAGGGTTAACTGCTCATTTTGGTCTAGGGGCTAAAATAAAGAAGATATACTCACCTGGTCCTCTGTTCTGTGGTAGTCAGCGCTCACCTCCCTTTCCCTCTGCTTTGGCGGTGGAATGCCCCTCAGTGTCCTCACGTCTAAAGCAGTTGCAGTAGACATGATGACGTCACGGATCCTTAAGTTGCCAGAGCTCGGGGAAAAAGGCCCTGCTGGGACTGGCCTTGCACCCAAGTGGGACCGAGGATCAGGTGAGTATAATTTCTTTATTTAGCCCCTTGACCAAAATGAGCACCTAACCCTAGCAGTGCTTGGGTAGCCCCACTGCAAGGGTTATTGTTTACATTTCTTGGAGTTCCTCTTTAAAGCAAACATTTGGTGAGTTATTCAATATGAAAAGATATACCGTAAGAATATTCAAATATCACAGAAGGTGAAAATAAATTGCAGTACAACATACTAGTCAGATTGCCATGCAACAAATAACTACTATTTAATCTGAAAAACGTTGGAGGTGTTTGTACTGTTCATAGGTTATTACCAAATGCAGTGAAACTTCAATGTAGTACAGTAACTGGGGTGCAGTCTCCTTTCATGGCATTGTTGGGTGGTGTACTAGACACCCATGGAGGGAACAAATAAGGAATTGCCTTTACCCATATATAGGTCAGAGACTGTTTCTCTCCCTATTTATATGTTTTATAAAAAAAACAAAAAACATGTTAAATGTTGATATTCACATAAAATCCAGTTATATGCCTAATGGAATGTCATTGGTGACCACGTTATATCTAATATTGTGTTATATTACTACACGTTGTATAGGGGTTTCACTGCACATCTTGAAAATGTTTTTTTCTGTCATTGCAGTATATACATCTGAAGCTATACTGGGAAAGTTAACATTTGATTGGGGTAAATAGTTACTGACATTCAAACGCCAAAGCATCCTTTTATTAATTTGTTGTTTTTCATTGTTTTCTGTTATTGCACCTTTATTTTTGTTATCATTTTGATGTATTTGTTAGTAAGTGATTCATATAAAATATAATAACAGTTGGTAATATAAATTGCAGCTGGTGAAGGATTTTAATAGATTAGCTGGCCTGCTGTTTTCTTGCAGTCCATGGGGATGCCTGTGCTACATATTCTGGGACTATTTAATATTTTCCAACCGGCGGGATGAAGCTTCTGGATAAAGTCCAGTTATACTGCACACATGGCAATGTCACAGCAGTCCATTCTCTGGTTTAGAATATTCAAATTCAACTCTGGATGATCACACAGATTATAGACATCAATACAATAATATTTAACGTATTATTATTGACACATTCCAGTTGCCCATTAGTTTTCTTTGTTAATGCCAGATCATAAGAGAGACTACTTTAGCATTGCTCCCCTGTTCCTGATAAATCATGGAGTTACTATTTAATGAGAGAATGATAAAAGTCATGATGGCAACCAATCAGATGTATCAGTTTAAAGCAGTCCGAGCCATTCATATTTTTTTGATTTTGTTGCTATGTGTACTGTTACTTTGCATGTTGTTCATTGCTTTGTTGAATACAAGCCTTAATGTTGCAAGAAGCAGGTCAGTTTTGTAGATATTTAAAAAACTACTAAGAAGATGTTGGGTCTTATTAAAGGTAAGCAGGTGAAGTGACAGGAAAGACATCCTAGCTCCCGAAGTTCAGATTACACAAACAGCTATGTCTACCTTGAAATCATTGGTAAATTATCCGAATTGTTTTTGTTTTTCATTGTGTTATATAATATGTATGTACTACATGAATTGACTTATATTGATATATAATATGTATGTACTACATGAATATAAGAATGTGACTTTTTATATACTTTATCAATGCAGAGATTCTGTAGCCTTTTTGATGGCTTTAATGTAATGTGTTTACATCGAGGTTTTCTTTTAATAAAGCACAGCTGACATGTACTGTCTTCAATCATTCCCACTATTGTGTACAGTATTTTTGTGATTACATTAAGGCAATTGAAGAAAGGGTGCAACTTGCTGCCATAATGGTTGCGGACTTTTATCCATAACAACAATATTTAAATGTGGTTTGGTCATGGCTCACTTTGGCTAGGAGGGGTATTCCACCTTAAGTTTCAGTTGCTTTGCAGATATGCCCAACACAAACAACAAAAGGCAATTCATTAAAGTCTTACAGCTTGTTTTCTTTAGAAAGCAGCCACAGCAGAAAGTAGAAAAGCCGGTCTCCTGCCAGTACACTGCTCTCTGTATGAAAGCAGTAGTCTCTGTGCAGAGGTCCTGCATGCCCCTTGCTGAGTCAGGTGTACAGTTCTGCAATCAGCAAAGCTCACCCTTCCTGCTGATTGGAGAACTCTAGCTCTGACTTATCCGGGATCATGTAACTTAAAATACTTACTTTAAATATGATATATAAATGACTGCACATATCTCTGGCTCTTTATAAAGCTTTGGCTCCTTATAAAATCAATCAAAATGACATGGATACCATCACAGATCATAATTTGTAAAAAAAACATTGTTGAATACATATTTAATGTACACCCGTGACATGTGAAAAGATGTAAAAGTACTCTTCATTTGTAAAAGCAGGTGCCTGCATGAAATTCCTTCATTCATCTCCCTGGGAGTCCCCAAAACATTCCATAAACTTGAATCTTATGCCCTATTGCGTTCCACAATGCACAGTTATGTTGTGTCATCCATTGGGGGCTCATCTAAGCTTCAGCATGATGTAAATGTGGAAGGTCATGGATACTTCAGGGACTTCACTGTAGTACATACTTGCTGATTCCTTTTACAACCACAGCTTGCCTTTATATTATTTCAGATATCATTGATTTCATTACATTGAAAAAGATCATAAATTAAGTTAAAAGGAACACGTTCTAATATTTGCTATATTCATGATGTTACACTTAAATACAGAACCAGATTATGCAGAAGGCAAACTAGGCAGGAGCCTTGGGGCCAGTCGATATCTAGTGGCAGAGCTATAACCTTCATGCCCCTGTAGAAAACCAGGGGAATAGTACCACTGGTCAAATCTGTGCACCTGCCTGTCACTACACAAGGGATGATTGACTTGAAGGCAATTGGTTTTTGACGAGATGAGCCATACCTGTTCAGACAATGTAAATTGGACAGCTTCTATGTGCCTGTCACAATCCTTATCAAAGTAAATTGAAAAGACAGAGGTCAAAGCTGTTACCATGTCTAGGGCCCTGTTTTGCCTTTATCTGTCTGTATGTTTACATGACCATCAGTCAGTCAATGCATCTGTGTGTGCTATGTGACGTGCTGAGCACTTTGGAGACCTGTTCATTGTTTATCACTATCGCTTATCACTATATATAAAAAAAAAAAAAAGCTGTGGTGGTAAAATATACTCTTGTCAAATGGTGCAGTTTAAACAATGAAACATTCTAATCCATTGTAATCAGTAGAGCAGGCAGCCAGTGTTCACATCAGTCAAGCTTAAAAGGTTTTTTTATTGTCTGTGGGTAATTATATCCAATGAGCTGTACAACATATTCATTGGAAAACAGTATTCACTTCTTATTTAGTGTTTTACAAATACTTGCAACATATTCAGGTCATTATGTGCTAACTTAAGCATCCAGATTTTCAGAGGTCAGCTACGTCACAGGGAATCCTTCTGACATACCATGCAAGCACGCATATGGAAGTGCATTGAAGGACAAATAAGTAAGCATGATCTTGCCAATGATAAACAACTGCTCACCCTAGCCAGCAGTGGATTTCCCTTTAATGAACTCTTTATTTTCATGGCTGAGTGTCTCTACATATAATGACCAGTAGATGGCAGCATTCTCTTCACTTTCTATTAGACAATTGTTCAAATGAATCTTATAAAGCAAGTTTTCAACCAGTGGCACAAGTACACTGAGGTATTTCTGTAGGGCTGCAACAAATGATTATTTTTTCGATTAATCGGATAAAAAAAAATACTATCCTTAATTTAAAATAAAATACACAAATGCAGTGTTACAAATATAAAGCTGACTTCAGAATAAAACTGCATGCACAATTTTTTTGCAATCGCACTGCACTGGAACGCATGGCATTGTGGTACTGTGCATTCCAGTGTGGGCGATCACACTGGGTGGGAGGCGCATTTGGGGTCCATTGAAATTAATGACACTGCAACGCACCTCCCATGGCAGAATTTGTCAGGCCGAAATTGAAAATGACTTTGATCTTAACCTTTATAAAAAAAAAATTATATTTGTATTGTAAGCACATGGCGCTTGAAAAGCTTCAAGCACATGTATATCCAGCACATATAATATACTAAAGGAAATGATCTCCTCAGAAACGTGAGCCATGTGTATTATATGAAGTCTTTAGATATACTCTAGGTTTTGGGTATTGTGTGGTAAAGCTAAAGGATTCTTGATGGTGAATTTGGTTTCAATAAAGTTGTAAATGTAAAATAGAAATTTTGTGTTAACTTGGCAAAGTTCATCTGTGTACAAATTAATTGCAAAGCCTGGGAAACACTGGTTTCAAAATTGGGCCCCTTGTGCACCATGACAAAGAGAACATTGAGTTAAATGGCTCAAAACATACATGAGGACACAGCAAGCAGTGGGCGGGTGCAACAGCCAGGCTGCTATTGCAATTTGAAATGGCCAATAGTAGGCTGGCTATTACACCAGCCCACTACCTGCTGTATTTACATTCCGCTGCCGTCTGTGGAATCTCCTCACTGGCAGCTGTCATTCCCGGATACTTATATTAGCTGTATTGATTTTTCTTTTTATACGTAACCATTTGTTAATGGTTATGTGCAAGGCTTCCATTACTGACTTCCTTCTGAAAATGCTAGTTGCCTATTATGCTGATCCTGGCTTCAATAGTCTCTGGAAAGTGACATTTAGAAGTCGTGATCCACATACTTGCTCTTAATTATCCAGATCTTGGCCTGCCCTTGGCCTAATGCACGGCCAGAATCCACTATCCAGTTAATAGGAGTATGCTCTTTGCAAGAGCAGATAAAGTAGGGGGTGATGTACAATCGTCCTAGTAGTGGCTGGTGTCTTCTCTATTACAACAGAAGCTTTAATATGAACATTTACAGAATGTTGCAAGAAAACTTGAAAGCAAAAAATATATTTATTCATCTTCCACTGCAATAGTCAGTCTTGGTTATGGTCATACTTGTTTATCCAGTTATGGTCAGCTCAGGCAACACTCGAATATCAGTATCCCGTTCAAGCCTGGATAACATCCCTTGGCTGAGCATTCTTGAAGAATGAAGTAATTGGCTGGTTTGGATATTCTTAACCAATCACCACAAGTCAGAATTCTGTAGGTAGCCTTGCCCATCAGTGCAATAAAGTGTTACAATATCCTCAACACTTGGAGGAGCCATTAGGAAAAATAAAGGCTGTCTTGTGAATGCCAATACTGCAGTGCTGTTTCTAGACAGAGACCATATGTACTGTAAAGACTTCACTTACCACATGTATGTTTTGAGCCATTTAACTCAATGTTCTCTTTGTCATGGTGCACAAGGGGCCCAATTTTGAAACCAGTGTTTCCCAGGCTTTGCAATTAATTTGTACACAGATGAACTTTGCCAAGTTAACACAAAATTTCTATTTTACATTTACAACTTTATTGAAACCAAATTCACCATCAAGAATCCTTTAGCTTTACCACACAATACCCAAAACCTAGAGTATATCTAAAGACTTCATATAATACACATGGCTCACGTTTCTGAGGAGATAATTTCCTTTAGTATATTATATGTGCTGGATATACAGTGTAGATTATGGTGACTTCTGTCCAACAATAGTCTAGGTTGAACTTTGGGGAACTGGATTTGCACCAAACCCAGGCTCATCACTATGTGTGGCTACTACTTTTCATCAGAGAGATAAATTGATACTAATGTAAAAAATATCCTAAAGTTCCATCTATTGCCTCAAAAAGAATGGCTTCTTACATGAGAGTCAAATAACGTATACTGCCAACTGTGCATTTTCATGCTTCTCAGGTGAAAACACATGGTCAAAACACATAGTTGATGGCTATAGAATATTGCTATGTGGACCAGCGAATATTATCTCAACTGTACCATATCCACATTAAGAGAACCAAACACAGTTTTAGATACTTGGGACTTTTCAGATACTAACTTAA